GGGGATGTTATTATCAATATTTTCAGATTTCTAGACTTTAATTTCATGATTTTTGCATTTAGGTTCACTACTATGAGGATGAGAGTCCAACGGGTACTTGTGCTGTCTGTGTGCTTGATGGCGAAAGGTTAGTCTAGAGCAATTTGCTTACTGTCTTACCTCCTTGCTGTTGTACAATTAAACTCGTAGCTTATTCTGGTTGAAAAGGAGAGCAAAGAAGAAAATATTATTTTTCATTTAGTAAAGGGTGAAAATATGACTTCTCAAGGTTTCAAATACTTCTTATGAGCTGACGATGTTTGGAAATTAATTTATCCAGGTCGCTTGTTGCAAACTTATCAGCTGCAAACTGCTACAAGGTTGACCATTTGAAAAAACCAGAGAACTGGGCTTTGGGTAGGAATCTTTGGTCCTGATGTTTATACGCGGAACTCTAATTTTCATGTTATATAAAACTTAATGTAAATTTTCATGTTATATAAAACTTTATGTAATGTGTCTGTACTCTGTATAGTGGAGAAGGCCAAGTACTATTACATTGCTGGATTTTTTCTCACTGTTTCTCCAGAATCTATTCAGCTTGTTGCTGAGCATGCAGCTGCCAAAAACAAGGTCTGACAGTTTGACAGTGTTTGTGTTTGAGTGCTTTTTGTAGAGTTAAATCAAACAATCACGTGAGTTTTCGCATTGTGCAGGTTTTCTCAATGAACCTTTCAGCACCATTTATCTGTGAGTTCTTCAAGGATCAACAGGAGAAAGTCTTGCCGTAAGGCCAATGCTCTTGCCTCTTTAATGCTACTTAAATGGAGAAGATACTGATTAGGGCTTGCATCTCTTGTTTTCAGGTATATGGACTTTGTCTTTGGTAATGAGACAGAAGCAAGAACCTTCTCTAGAGTTCATGGCTGGGAGGTAATGGGTGCTTAGATTAATTCCAGGTTTCTCAAAATTGACTCGGATTTGCGTTTTTAGCTAACTTATGCTCTAATATGACCAGACTGATAATGTTGAAGAAATAGCATTGAAGATCTCACAATGGCCAAAGGCATCAGGAACACACAAGAGAATCACTGTCATTACACAGGGTGCTGATCCAGTTGTTGTTGCTGAGGATGGGAAGGTGAAATTGTTCCCAGTTATTCCTTTGCCAAAAGAGAAACTTGTTGACACCAACGGTGCTGGTATGTGGTTTATGCTAGTTTTGCTTGTTTCTATTGCAATAGAGTTAAAATACCAATTCATTTAGTGGCAACTATAATTTGATCCGATTGACTAGTACTCTTCTTTGAATTCTGTCATATTTGCCTCTGTCTGATAAAGTTGCACCCTTTAAAGCATTTAATAAGTTTCGAGTCTTTTGCATAGGAAATTCAAAACCAAAGCTGGTAGGAACCAGAATTGTAAAATTTTGAACTATTAAAGATTCTTTGCTACTTTCTTGATTAAGTAGATCTCTTTGCAACTATTGGTAACATTGTTCCTCTCCTTTTGTTTCTGAAATATTACATCTTTCAGAGAAGTTTTTACAAGTTTTTGGAAATTAAGTAGGACGGTAAATTTTTGTAAATCTTAAATATGTTCACAAAATTTACAGAATGTTGCACTTCCTAGCTGTTCAGACTCCACTTGTGGGATTATACTAGGTTGTTGTTGTGACACTTCCTAGCTGCCTCTAGTTACCTTCTAGATTTTCTTCTCTAAAGTTAAATTAACTTATTGGTCGAACTGTTTCATGTGATGATAAATTGCATTAAAAAATTTCCTTGTGTGCGCCCTGTTTTACAGTACTTCTGCTTGGTAAACGAATCATGAATACCCAAGAAATTATATATTATTTCTGTGTACACTTTTGTAGGTGATGCATTTGTGGGAGGATTCCTTGCACAGTTAGTCCAAGGAAAACCTATTGCAGATTGTGTCAAAGCAGGGTGTTATGCATCGAATGTCATCATCCAAAGGTCTGGTTGTACATACCCTGAGAAGCCCGATTTTGAATGAGGGATTTTCCTCTTGTGGGCTTTCCATGTTCTTCTGTTAAGAAGAAACCTATTCTGGTTCTTATAGTATTTTTGATCTGGTTATGCCAATTGGTAATGGTATATCCACATCCCACTTCCCATCCCCCATATTGTTGTAAGGCATTTTAATTACCTTCTCTTCATCATTTGAGAATAACATTCTGTTGTAGTAATTCTATTTATTGCAATAAGGATGATTCTTTAGTTTTCATGCTAAGAAAGTGGTTCAGGCTAATACTCTTGGGGTTACCGGCAGTAATCAGTGGCAAAGCTAGGAATTTTCTCAAGGGTGTTCAAACTTGAAATAAGTAAAAGAAATAATCCGACAAAGGGTGTTCAATACATGTTATGTACCTCTAAAATCTAATATTTCACCTATATAAACAATGTAATTTTCTGATAAAGGGTGGTCAGTTGACCACCCTAACCCAAGTGTGCCTTCGCCCCTGGGAGTAATCCTGGTATTAAATTTGGGATTGCATTTATAATATTATTCAATATCGATATAAATCTTAAATCAGAACCTTGGTATTATCTATTCTATATAGAAGGTAAGATATAATCTTGGTTGTAACCCAGGATTATTATACTGGCAATAACTTTGTTTCCAACCAAAAGATCAAGATTGACAATGATATATTTACAACTCAGAGAGAGAAATAGGAGCTCAAATTCTGCAACCTTGGCTATCTCAGTCACCTCCAAGACCACCTCTCTTATTGCCCGGTTGACCAAGACGTAAAAATCAGCTTATTTTAAGAATGCTTTTTCGCGAAAGTATTTTTCTCAAAAGTACTTTTGATGAGAAAAGTTTGTATTTGGTTAATTAATTTGAAAAACACTTTTGAGTAGCAATGAGTGTCTGACCAAACTTTTAAAAACTGCTTTTAAGTGTATTTTTCTCAAAAGTGCTTTTGGAGGGAAGCTACTTTTTTTTGATTCTCCAAAACAACTTCCGCTTCTCCTCAAAAACATTATTTTTCTTCCGAAAGCTTGGCCAAACACTTCAACTTTGAAAAAAGGTATTTTTTCCGAAAAAAAGTGCTTCTAGGAGTGAAGAAGCTCGGCCAAACATGCTAATAGCCAGTTAGCCTTGCAATCTGGTTCTCACTAGATACTAGGGTCATTTGGTTGGTGGGATAAAGGATAATAATTTCGGGATTAGATGCAGGATTATTTTATTGTGTTTGGTTGAATTTTTGAATTTGGGATTAGCAATCTAGGGATTAATTCAAGTATAATTTTCCTTCCACTGTGCCCAATTCAAGTATAATTTTCATTGTTGAGAATTCTACATCAGGACTGGTTTATCATGTACTATGCTTATAGGCCGGTAAAAGAGAGATCCCACAAAATACTACATTTATTAATGAGATTTTTACATATCTATACCATATCTGAAACCTTATTACTAAAACTGTGCATATTTCTATTATTATCCTCCATGTTTATATTTTTCCTACAAAATTTATACCATTCATTAAATACCCAATATTAAGAGCTGATTCCTTCCAAATTAGGCACCTACAAATCTGGGATAAATATTTGAATAGCTTATTCCTTCCAAATTAGGCGCCTAAAAATTTGGGACTAAATATCTTTTCATATTCACATCATATTTGTTTCCTTATGTGATATAGGAAGGTAAAAATTCCTAAAATAAAAAAAACTTTAAAGGTAATCCAGTCACTAAAGTCTTAATTCGGTCATTATTCTTCAGTTACGGATGAATAAAATAATATATTGTAAAGGACCAAAATGGAAACTTCATAATGGCCATATAAATGCATTAACGTATATAACACACAATTGTAGTGACGTGTTATCCTTAATTATTGTATAAAATAGTTCTTTTCAGTACAAATCCTTATCTACAAATTTTTAACAAATAAACTACAAATCAGTTTAAGTATTGTATAAAGTTGTATTATTTTTAAGGGTATCTATAAAATTACTACATTTATACTACAATTAAACTATAATCTATGTTGAAAAAAAATATTGACTACAAAATTTTCTCTGTATTTTTTGTGAAGAAGAAGGAAGAGAAGATGAAGTCTGATTTTATGTTAATATCTACAAAATTCCTACATTTATCTACAAATAAACTATAAATTAGTTTAAGTATGTATAAAGCAGTATTGTTTTTAAGGGTATCTATAAAATTACTACATTTATACTACAATTAAACTACGATCTATGTTGAATACAAAATTTCTATTCATCTACAAAATTCCTACAAATCAGTTTTAGTATTGTATAAAGCTGTATTGTTTTTAAGGATATCTACAAAATTACTACATTTATACTACAATTAAACTACAATCTATGTTGAAAAAAAATATTGACTACAAAATTTCTTTAAAAAAAACTACAAAATTTCTTTCAAGAAAACAAGAAATGTAGCTGTGGCCAATTCCAACTTGAAGAACTTTCATGTGTAAATTGTTTCCAGATTGTAGTTATAATGTAGGTTAAATGTAGTTAATTTGTAGTTTTTGTAAAATTTTGCAGACAATTTGCAGATTAATTGTGGATGTCACATTTCTACAATTGGCTCTTCATCTACAAAATTTCTACAAAAAACTACAAATAAAAGCTGCCAAAAAAGCAATTCATATAATTCCAATCAAGAAATATGAGAAGAAGTTTAGAAGTGATTTAATATCACGTCTTTTTCCATTAATTGGATCGACACTAATATATCGCTCATGCTGTTTTATGACAAATAAACCAACCTTCCTCTGTATTTTTTGAGAAGAAGAAAGAATGTAGAAGAGAAAGAAATGGGAAGGGGAAAACGACGCTCGTCAGATCTTACGAATAAATTGTTTCTATTTTTATATGAACGAAAAAAGTCAGAAGGGAAAGTTGGAAATCTTCAGATCTCTCTCTATGGATGAACTCAAAGTGAAAACCAGAAGGAGAAAAATAAAAAACCACCCTAGCTCCCAAGATAACAGTCGTTCCCACATGAAAACAAAAATCAAACGAATCCTTTCTTCTTCGAAAAACAGAGGCGTTTCAGTTAGATTTGAATTCCGTTAAATCCGTTTGAGGTCGTCGAGTCCAGGGGAGAGAGAAACGTGAGAGGTATGGGGGTGGGAGGAGAGAGAGGCGAGTAAACGAAAATGGGAGAATATACGCTCCTAAATTAACGCCTAATATAAATAAAGCATTAATTATGCCCATAATTTGAATTATGGTATAGAAATGGTAATTTGGTATGCTTAAATATAATAAACACAAACCTTAAACATTGAGGGTAATAAGATTTCATATATGGTATAGATAGGTAAAAATCCCTTTATTAATCCAGTTGGATCTTTGCGAAAGGGCTCTATTGCTTGGGAAAAAAGTCTTGCATTGGATCTGAATGACCCTCTTATTCCTTTTGTATTTTTGGCCTTGGGCTTTCAACCTCATTAATTTAGCGTATGGATGATTTATGGCTATACAAATATTTAGTATGTCTTTTTTAAACCATAAGTTTCAAATGTTATTATTATTTTCTTAAATATCATACTCAGTCAAACACCACGTCATAAATTGAGACGGAGAAAGTATAGGCTTTTAGGTGAGCATTGTAAAGCATGTGACGAGTGTAAAGTGGGTTTCCTTTCTATATTTTCTATGTTGGGGGAAGAAAATGGAAAAATCAAATAAACTGATATCGTTGCTTGAAAAAGAATGAAGATTGGTATTTTGAATGAGGGTAATAGAAAATTCAATAAACAAATGATCAGTTGAGTACATGAAAGCAATAAATTAAGTTCACCTATGGTCATCGAACGTTCTCCACTATTAAAGTAAAGCAATAAATTATTTTTCAAGTAACTAAACGTTACTCGTTATAAATCTACAATAGTAAAGGCCAAAAACTATATTTATCGCATTAACGTAAATGAACTATGTGTAAATTGCGGTTAAATTTCTGGCTCTGGACAATCATTGATATGTTGGTTGCTACTTCTACTTGTTGTATTTGTAAATAATAATTCTGGAAAAAAGAAAGTTAGCGAATAAACGTAAATATAAACGAAACAATAATTAATTCCATCCCACTAAATTCACAGTGTTTCCTTAAGGAATTTAATCTCCTCCTAGTACCCAAGGTTATGGATTATTTTCTCCCAGGATAGAACGAATTACACACTGGTATAGCGGTACTTCAAACCCCAGTGTTTCAGCAAACACAAAGTTCGGCAGCAAATCACACTTATGATTGCTTTGTTTGTAGTTAAAAAAAACAATGCAGAACAAAGGTGAAGAACTCAAAAGTCGAATGGAAATTCTGAGAGGAAGGAATGCAATTTATAGCCGATGTTGAGTTCTTACTGAAGAGGATATCAACGACAGCCAAGCTCTCAATTTCGTTTCTGCCTGTGCCTTCTCCTAACAGCTTGCTTGTACCGTTTTTTTTCCAGTTCAGTTTTTTGTGTGTCCTTGCTCTAATAGCTACTGCACATATTTATAGTGCAGTCAGCTATTAAGAGAATGACCAGCCACCACTCATGGTGGAGCATGCACTAGGCTGTTATGGAAGAAACACTTGGCCATGGTGGAAGGAGCGCTAGGCTGCTAATAGAACTGGTGGGATAGATACGCGGATTGGAACATATCCGTTACAAATACGGATAATATTACGTTAATATTTACTATTAACAAATAAATTTGGTCCAAAAAATTAATCAATCAATCGATCATTTGACCAAATCCGAATCCGAAGCCAAAGCCGTTGCCGAAGCCGAGCCGAGCCGAACGAGCGACGACAACGGTGCGAGGCTTGCCTTCTTCATAACTCTTTAAGAGCCACAAGAAGAGCAATTGTATTTATACCCACCAAAATCCTTTTCCTCTTCCAATATGGGACAATGTTTCAAGAGAGGGCAACTTAAAATTTTACTCAAAATTTTCATTTTCCCTCCATTTCCCATTCACCCTCTTTTTAAGACTTTTCCATCTTAAAATCCTCAACAACCCCCACATGAATGGGGAATGGCTATATCACGGAAGTATGCATGAAAAACTTGTGTGATTTGCAAGCAAGGATTAATTGCATCTGGATAAGTAAGTTTCCTTTTGAACTTTCCGTAGTGAACTTATGTAGGATATACTCGGTCAATCGGTAGATTTGATATCTT